TAGTAATTCACTTGTTGTTTAGGTGCGGCTCTCACTGTTAGAAGTTCCCCGCGGGCGGCTAGCTGTATTTGGTAACCTTCACAGCAGCAGATTGCAGGCCTTTCTCTCGTGACACAGAGTGAGTTTGAACCTCCGACCTTTAGGCTAGTAGCTGAGAGCAAACTTGGTCACTTAGGGGCCATTGGCTCATTGTAGGCCCCCACTAGATAGTTGTGGAATAGATGACAGAATGAACATGGAGAGGCCTCAAACTAATGGGCACCAGAACTACATGTTTCTCACAATGCTTTAAAAAACAACAACAATAGCTTTTAGTTTTTGAATTAGTGGCGTGTGTTTGCATGTATTATTTTTTTAAAGGTGGAATTCACCACATACGCAAATCATTCCAAGAATCTAGAGACTAGACAGGTGTTGAGTTGGTGAAGGGGAAGGTAACACCTGTAAGATGGAAAAGAGAAAAAAACGGGGGTAGGAGGTAGGGAACAGGACAAGCTATTTGGAGGCTTGTCAAGTTGTTGGATATAAAATGATGATCTGAAATGTAACCCCCCACCTAGTTTCACGAATTTAAAAATATTGGGGAAAAAAGACTTGAGGAACAAACTCCGTCTACGTGGTTACACCGATTCGGTGCCCCGGTGGTGTAGTGAGTGACAGGGCGGGCTAACTGCAAGGCCAGCTGTTTGAAGCCACCCGCTGCTTCTCGAGTCTGTTCCCGTAAAGATTGACAGCCTGGGAAAACCAAAGGGGAGTTCTACTCTGTCCCGGAGGGTCGCTGTTTGGAATCGACTTGATGGTAGTTGGTAGTTGTTGGTGTGTTTATCACACTGAAAGAGGCCTGGTGACATCGTGGGTTTAAAAAAAAAATCCCATTTCAGTTAACTATCTTATGCTCTGGTACCACCTAGTCTGCATTCCTCCACCGCAAGAACTGGGTGGCACGGAGTCATGCCAGCTGTTAGGGTGTGGGCGTTCCATTTTGCTCCCCCCACCCGTGGCACCGCACCTGCAGTCAGTTTCATGAGCTCTCCGGGGGCCTGAAGGATTTGGTTTGCAATGTCTACCCTACACGGCAATGGAGAAAGCCCAACCGCCTGCAGTACTGCTGGGGGAAGGACCACGAGGGCCTTTGAAGCCTCCTGCAGCATCGGACACAGGCACTTTAGTTGACAGGTCGTGGGAAAGTGTGACCAGGGTCAGGTCCCAGAATCAGGGCTCTGTCCTGACTTTGCCGGTACAGATGTTTGAACCACTACGACAGCCGGGAAAGGGCGTGCGGAGTTGCATAGGAGCTGTGGGTTAGGGGTTAGGGTAGGGTAGTGGCGATGTGACACCTGAGAGTGACTTCAGCGCTGACCCCTTGTCCGTGTCATAGTGCCCACCGGGTCACAATCGCACCAGACTGCTTGAACCTCAGCCTCTCACACCTGAACCTCACTTTGCCGCAGGGAGGCACTGAATTGAGAAGCTGCCTTGTATCAGGTCATACCCCCCTGTTTATTCCCTTTCTTACACCAAGAAGGGGAAAACACGCAACTACCGCTACCCGATTTGGTCTCCATTCGCCTATTACCTTTACTGCTACAAATACCGGATCACCCGCCGGGAGAAGATGCTGCCTTGTTGTTGTAAAAGGTACTTGTTTATAGATACTGTAAGGAAAGCAGTAGCACTTGGAAGACCGTCCTAAGCAGCAGCAGATGCTGGAACTTCTTTGGAATTTGTCCATCTACTTTGCCCGCACAATGGTTGACCCTGCTACCAGAGAAGATCCTGCCAGAGGGTGGTAGTGGAACTAGGAGCCTTTCCTCGTCCCAGACCTTACGCTAATTTGGGCTTCTCTGTTTTTCTCAACCAGCATCACTTACAAGGAGCAGGAGGACCTGACACTCCGGCCCCGTTCCTGCCTTCAGTGCTCCTGAGTCCCCAGTAGGCCTTCAGGTGGGCAGAAGCACTGATCAGGGGGACCACAAGCAGCTAAAAGAACTGTACTCGGTACGTGGATGGTGGGCTGGGGCTGCGACACCGCAAGCTCCTTGTTCAGTTAAACCTGTGAGTGCCGGAACTCGACGAGACGGCCGTTTCTCTGGTTCTCACAAGCCTTCCTCCTCTCTCACAAGTCTTACCCTGCTTACCATCTTGTCATTTTTCAATTGCTTTCTCTGTGTTTTCAAGTTTTCCTTTTCTGACAGGTTCCTGCCTTACATAGATCCCAGTATTTTCAGATCTTACTGTACAACGAGACCTGCAGAGGAGGGCTAGTAATAGCTTGAAAAAAATGAAATATCGAAAATTAAAGCCAGGTGGAATCTTGGGGTGCATATGTAAAAGCTATGTGTTTTACGGACTAGGATTCTTTGGTCCAGACCACACTAAATTCCAAACCAAATCCATTGCTGTCCAGTGAACTCTGACTCCCACGACCATATAGGGCAGAGTCGAACTGCCCCTTAGTGTGGGCAAGGCTGCTATCTTCACAGCAGCAGACTGCCAGGGGAACAGCAGGCGGGTTCAAGCTGCTGCTCTTCCCGTTGACATTCAGGTGCCTCATCGCTACACCCCAATGCCACCAGGGTTCCCAAGGCCACATGGCTGGTGGTACAAATCGGGAGGAAAAGAAGGGAAATAGAGCTGTGTATTAAGACGTTGGACAGGGCAAGATATGACAAAATACCCATTTATAAACTATCAAGGGCTCACGAGGGAGGGGGGAGCGGGGAGGGAGGGAAAAAATGAGGACCTAATGTCGGGGGTTTAAATGGAGAGAAAATGTTTTGAGAAACGATGTACAAATGCGCTTTACACAATTGATGTGTGTATGGATTGGGATAACAGTTGTATGAGCCCCTAATAAAATGTTAAAAAAGAAAAAAAAAAAAAAAGACTTCTAGACCCCAAGCCCATCTGTAAGATAATTGGACAGTCCCTCTCAGAAAGGCCACAGGGAAGGGATGATCAATCCAGGGTGTGGTAAAGCGCTGATGAAGCACATCACCATCTTCTAGTTCTATCATGTCCCCCCCCTTACTATTATGGTTTTTGTTTTACCCAATTTAATTGTTAGATTTGTGTAGGTTCATTTGTATATTTGAGATTGTTCGATACATGAAAGTCAAGATAGATAACCCTCCAGAAACAGTAAGGGGAGTAATGATTCCCTGAGGGAACAAAAAGAGATGGGGGAGGGAAGAGGGGAGAGGGAGCTGATAGCATTGATGACTATATAACCCCACTCGGTGGGATCACACAGAATTTTACGGGGATGGATATATTGGATGTGTAAGATATGGCTAAATAAATAAATAAGGGTTCCTGGGGGGTAGGGTGGTGGGGGAGGGGATAAAAGGGAGCTGCTATCAAGGAGTTCAAGAAGAAAGAAAATGTTTTGAAACTGTGTGTGGTAGCGATTGCACAATCCTGCTTGGGGTGACGGAACTATACAATGTATGATACCTGTGAGAGCTCCCGATAAAAGGCCTAAGAAAACCCAACTGAACCACTTCCAGGCTATCACGTTACATACATGGGAAGCTGGGACTGGAATCCAGAACTCCCCTGCTTGTTCTTTCCCCCCCGCTTGTTTTTGTGTATTTTATTTCATTGAGCCACATGGCTTTGACTTCTACATGTTCCATGTGAAAAATGAGAGACTTTAGAAGAAAAATCCAGGGGAAACTGATAAGGCGGCGTCCGTGCAGCCCTGGGACGAGGCGAGTAGGCAGTGATACCTGCATCTCCTCGGTTCTAGATTGAGTCTGGTGCCCAGGAGTCCTTAACAGAGATGGCTGTTAGGTCTCAGGCCTGAGGAGTCAGCGAGTCTCTAAGATGCTCCCAGGCCACCCATCAGCCCCCTCCTGCTCTACATACACACACACACACACACACCGCCACTACCCTCCCCACCCCCCACCCCCCCCAAGCTCTCTCTGCCAGAGACCTGACTGGGCCTAGATGAGCAGAGATGGTTGCTCTCACATTTACTCCTGACCTCTTCTAGGCTGGGAACCTGACGGTGCTAACTACTGACCCCCTGCTCCACCAGGACCCAGTGCAGTTAGACTTCCACTTCCGCCTCACCCCCCAGACCTCTGCCCACTGGCACGGCCTTCTCTGTGATCATCGACTCTTCCTGGATATCCCATATCGGGCCTTGGATCAAGGCAGCCGGGAAAGGTGACTGAGCCTGGATGGGAGAGAAGGGCAGGGGCGCCCCCTCTGGTCACATGGCAGTCAGGCAGCGGGTGTAGGGACCGGGACATGTGCAGACCACCTGATAATGCAGCCAAACCTGTGAACGAGCTGGGCTCCCAGTGCCAGGCTCCAGGGGCTATGGCTCAAGGGAGGTTGCTGGACTCCAGAGGTGGAGACACAAAAGCGAGAACCCTATACCGATGACAACAGCAAGTGCCTTCCTGCCAGCAGTTTGCCTCTCTGAAGCAGTCCCTCCACCGCCCCTGGCTTGTCAGTCCCGTAATGTGCAATCTTTTGGCTTCAGAGAAAAATCCACCAAATCTAGTTTGGCAACTCCCAATTCCTTTTGCTTTTGGAAAGAAAAGCTGACCAGTAAGGTTGCTGATGCTTACTGGGTGCATTCTGGGCTGGCTTACCATTTCTTTAATTGTGCTGCCCTCTGGCCCCTAGCTTGACAGCCACACTGGAGTACGTGGAGGAAAAGACCAATGTGGACTCTGTGTTTGTGAATTTCCAGAATGATCGCAACGACAGAGGTATCTGCTGGCCTTCCTTGTGCTCATGGGAGTTCCTCCCCCTCCCTTTTAAAAAGGGAGCTCTCAGGCACTTGTGGGGGTAAGGCCCCTAGCATTGTCCCTTCAAGGCACATCTGGATTACCAGGATGCCCTGCAGGGCAGATCTGAGGCAAACTGGGGAAGCACCGGGGAACTAAGAGGCCTTCTCGGGTACAGTGGAAGAGTGGTAGGGTCTAAGTGTAATCAGGCACAAAGCCAAGAAAGGAAATCACATAGTTCTTTGGAGCCTGTCATAGAAGCAGCACCAGGTCTTCCCGTTGAGTGGTAGTTCTGGGTGTGACAAAGGACAGTTAACCACCATTCCTGCTCCAGCGCTTACTGTGTGTCAGCAGCCAAACCGACACTTCAGACATCTCCGCTTCCAGCCCGAGAGGAGCTGTGTGCTCCGGTTCACAAATGAGAGCCCTGACCTTTGGAAGCCGGGCTGATCATGTCACCCCTATGCTGCACTGCCCAGCATCCCTGACAGCTGCCCCTGGGGGAAGAACCCTGCCTCTAGGGCAGCCGTTCTCAACCTGTGGGTCGAGACCCCTTTGGGGGTCGAATGACCCTTTCACAGGGGTCGCCCAATTCATAACAGTAGCAAAATGACAGTGACGAAGTAGCAGCGAAAATAATGTAATGGTTGGGGGGGTCACAGCACGAGGCACTGTATGAAAGGGTTGCGGCATCAGGAAGGTTGAGAACCACTGCTCTAGGGGAAGAGAGATTGAGCTCAAGAATGCCAGTAATTTCTTCTCTTCCTTCCACAGGTGCCCTACTGCGGGCCTTCAGCTACATGGGCTTTGAGGTGGTCAGACCAGGTCACCCTGCCCTCCCTCCCTGGGACAATGCCATCTTTATGGTGTACCCCCTTGAAAGGGACAATGGCCACCCGCCCAGTGAACCTCCCTGAACATGCTTATTCACAGGCTGCCAGGGGCGGGGAGCCTGGAGGTGAGAACCAAGCAGGCAACATGTGATCCGGGATCCTCTCCTCCAACCTAGGAATAAAGGGTAGTGCAATCCTCCAGTGTTTTTCTTTGGGGTGGGGAGGCAGTAGGGTTCATGTGAATAGAACATTAGCCTGAATTCGTTGTAGGATAAGCACTAAATGATTGGTCGCCTGAACCTCTGCCCCAAAGTTGGTTGCCGGTTTTATTTAATTATCATCTATTGAGCACCTGCCAAGGCCCAGGCCCCAGCGTTAAGGGCCTCAGACTGCGCCTTGTTGGGACGTTTTCCTAGCTGTAGAGCTCCAGTTGGAAACCAGGAACCTTTGCAAGGATCCCTTGGTCTTTGCCTCAAGGGGAGGAGTTCAACCAAGCCAGAGTGGGTAGGTACCCCAGGAGCAGGAAAGTGCCGGCTGTGCTTGGCTGTCACCTGAGTAAAGGTCTCCCTACTGGACTTTTGAGAGGCAAGCTGCACTGGGAAGGACTCTTCCTTTCCCACAGCAGGCAGTCCTGGGAACATGTGCCCTGGGGGATGGCAGAACAAAGGCGGTGGGGGTGGGGGTGGTGGGACCCTGGCGGCTGAGGGCCACGTGGTGTCTCAGCTGAGCCTCTTTGCAGGGCAGGGTGTGCTCCAGGAAACTCGGGACGCCCCACGATTCCTGAGAGATCACCCTCACTACTTCAGCACAGGTGGTCTGCTACTTGGTAGAGGTTTTTCTGAGAACATAAAGCCGCTGTATCGATCAGAGAAAAGACGGTCACCAGGTAGGAGTCACAAGAGACTTTACCATGAATCCCTATGTTACAAAAAGGACAAAACGTTTTCCAGTTTATCTTGCTTGGTCACCCACTTCATTAGCCATGGTCGCTCCACGACTATACATTTAAAGTACCAGCCCCGTGCGCAAGGGAGCCCCAGTGGCACAGTGGGTTACTAGTTAGGCTGCGAACCACAAGGCGAGCAGTTCGCAAACACGAGCCTGGACTGACTGGACGTCAGCGAGTTTCACCATTCTTGGCCGAGCTGCTGGACTGTGTGCGCGCGCGTGCGCGCGCTCGCATACGGTACTCACTGCAGTGGTGGGGAATCTGATCTCTGCCAAGGGTTTAGGTGTTTATCTGCACAGACTTTATTGGCTGAGGGCATGTTCCCTGGAAGGAGGGTGGGGAGGGGAGTAGGAGCAACACCTGCTTTTTAGGTGGGGCCCTTGTGTGAAGTCACTTTGACTAGATTTTAGTTTCCAGAGACCTTAGTCAGTCGGCTTCTGCCTTTTGATCCAATCAGCATTTTAATTGTCTTGAGAATTTTATTCAGCAAAGAATCCCCCCAAATGATTTCAACAGCCACATAATGTTCTGTCGTTCAATGAGTTGCCTCTTTAAAAAAATTTATTATTATTTTGCCTCTGTCTTTCTACCTGGTTTTTACTAAAGTCTTCAGGGAAACAGCAGGAGCACTGCTTCAGAAGTCCTGGGCTCCAGGAGCGTGTCAGCAGTTGACGCTGGCGTGGGATGGGGTCACTATTCTCTCCCCTGCTCCCTGGCTAATTTCTGCTTTTTCCTTCTGACTCGCTGCAGTGCTGGAGTCCCCAAACCTCTCTTACCCAGAGTCAGATGTCTGCAGCTTCATCACGTCCAGTGACCAAAATCCTGGCTGTTTCCCAGCTTCCAAAAGGACACAGCCTAGTGTGGATGGGCATCATGGCAGGGAGGGGGCTGGGGGGACCCTGATGCTGAACAGGCAGGAAGTAATAATGCAGCGGTATTCAAACACTGGGAGGGAGGGGTGTGTGTGTGTAAGTGTCTATCACACATTTGCTGGTAGTCCAGGGCAGGTGTTCACAAGGTAGATTGTGTGTAACAGAGGAGGGACTGCAGGGGACCTCTTTTTTTTTAAATCATAGCTGCTTCTCTCCTGTCAAAGACATGCACAGCTTGACCGGGCTCTCTCTCTGAAAGCAAGTGAAGCTGCAGGAAGTGCTGGGAAGAAGCAAGAGAGGGGCGTGGGGAAGGGGGCCCTGGTTGTTAGCCCTCGTGACTTTCCTGCTGTACAGAGGACCGCACAGCCGCTGGGCAGGGACTTCAGAGCACGTAGTCGTCTTCAAGGTTGTCATCGCCACACAGGGAGGCCGCTTCTAGTGGACAGAAGCGAGGAGAGAGAGACAGTGACCTGTGCTAGCTGGCCCAGCTGTGAGGTTCCAGGGGAAATGGAGGCCTCTTGCGGTCAACAAGCTGGTGAAGCTGTGACGTTGCTCAGCTTGCAGAAATTGAGAGGTGGTAGAAGAAACACTGTTTGTACCTGATAAGCTGAGGCAGGACAGGGTATGTGCCATCTCTCCGGGGCTCCTCTTGGACTCTGGGAACATGCTGTCTAGAGAGACATCAGTGGCCTGATGGGAAAGAAACAACAGGAAGAAGTTTTGGCTGGTGGAAGAGGAGAGGCCGCCAGTCATATTTCCCGAGCATGGCTCCTGTGGGGCACAGGCGTCCTTGATCGATACATGGGGCAACTCTGAGACCCCTTAGGAAAGCGCCCTATGAAACGCCATGACTAGAAGCCCTCTGGTCTCTCAGGCTTTGGGTTGGCTCTGAAGAATGACTACAGGGCCCATCATTACCTGCAATGCGTCAGGGACAGCTCCGTTTTCTTCCATTTCTTCAGGAAGTTCAATTGCATATCCTTTTCGAACTAATTCTAATCCAATATCACATTTCTGAGAGGAAAAGAAAAAGTGATGTTCTTTTGGAAGGAAAGAAAAAGGAGAAAGGGCAGAGGAGCCAGCTGCGATTTTAAAGACATCCCACAGGTGAGAGTGGTGGGGTGGGGAGCAAGGAGCATCGTGCCCGACGTCGAGGGAGGAAAGGAAAAACGAGGCTGTGCACACTGCAGAGACGAGCAAGCGAGCCCCAAGCTTACCTTCCCGTTGCTGGTGTCATATAAGTAGATCTTTGGCCAAGTTGAGACCCCGCTCTGGACATAGCTAGAGATCTTGGCCACCAGGGGGGTCCACTCAGCACAGTGAGTGAGTCTGTCAAACTCATCCAGAGCCGCCTCGTCCCACTGTTCACCTAGCAAAAGATCGCAGAAGAGGGCCAGGGGGAGTCCGTGCTGAGGGAGCGGGTGGGGTGGGGGTGGGGATTCTCTAAGGGCAGGAAAGGAACCTTGGCCGTTCCTACGCTAGCAAACCCCTCTGGCTTCTCTGGCTGGGGAGAGTCTGCCTTGCAGGCAGGTTTCTGGTCACTGCTACTTAGTGCTGGTACCGAACCGGAAGTCTGGGGAACGGGAGCACTCCCGACATTTATTTTACCCAGAGGCAGGGGCCCGAGGCTGTGTGACCCATTTACCTGAGGGGGCGATTTGTGCCAGACTACACTCTACTGCTTGAAACGGAAGACTTAGGAAGTCACTCCTAAGGCAAAAGGAGAAACTCGTTAGGAACCTAAAGCCAGATCAAACCCTGCCCCCTACCCCCAACTCACCGCCACTGAGTTAATTCTGACACATAGCGACTAGAGGACGGGGTAGAACTGCCCCTGTGGGTTTCCGAGACTAACTTTTCACAGGAGTAGACAGCCACGTAGTTTCCCCATGGAGCAGCTGGTGGGTCTGAACTGCTGACCTCGGGGTGAGCAGCCCCATGTGTAACCAACTAGGCCACAAGGCTAAGTAAAAAAGGTACTGCTGCACAATCACAGAAACCTTTGTTTAACAAGAGTCTCAGCGTAAAGCTGCTGTTTCTTGACCTGTCCTCCGTGGGGGGGTCTGTGCACCTGAAGGCTGTGTTTCCGCCTCTCTCAGCTCCCCTGAACACAGGCCCTGTGATTTACATGGGGCCGAGACAGCAGTTTTAGCATCTGCCAGGGACGGAGTTCAAAGCAGCGCCATCTGGGCTGTGGGGGTGTAAGTGTCCCCGTGGAATCCTCACAGGACAGCCCTTGCAGGCGGCGTGGGTGCGTTGTCATGACAGAGAAATAATTCTCAGTGTAACTTCCCAGGACTTTTCCCTCACCAATGCAGTCTTCAATTCTCCTAGAAGTTCTTCCTAACAAGTCGATGCAGTCACCTGGTGTCCTTCAGAAAAGGGTACTGCTATGACTCCTTTAGAGCCTTAAAACACAGCCGCGCTAATCTTCCAGACGGACTTCTCTGCCGGAAATGACCATATATGCTCTGTTTAAGTCAAGTTTTCCAGCACATTTTTATGCAGTTTTTGTGGTAAAGTTAGGTGCCTCGATTGATATTTGGGTCAGCTTATCCTCGAGTACATACGGTAACTGGCCCAGCGGATGTCCTTGGAAGGTACTATTTTGGTAGAACTTTTTAAGGTACTCTAATGAGGCGGAGAGCTGTCTACAGCCATCCACCAACTGCAGCGCTATGCTGAAGCATGTTTTGTGTGGAGCCAGCCTGTGCAGGGATGAACCGGGACCCTGGCAGCTATATATATTTTCTTACTCTCACATTCTTTGCTTTTAAACAGAACCAGCTCACCCAGTGTGAGGAAACAATCACAGGCTCTCGATTAGGGGGGGCTCTTCCACATTCCCCTCAAGATGAGGGTGAGTGCCAACAGCTCACCAGCCTAGGGCCAGGGCCAAGTCAACAGTTGGGCTGGGCTTTGAGGCCGACCCTGCCCATCTCCACACTGACCTGAGGGTTCTGAGGTCCTTCAGTGGGCACTCTCCATTATCGCCAAAGTCAACAAAGTAGAGGTCCAGGTTCCCATTCTCCAAGGTGCCAAGGACTCGGGCTCGGTACCAGGACCCGTTCACCGGTAAAGGCGCCGCTACAATGTCTCCTACTTGCACTGTCAAGTCTTCAGGCTACGTGAGGACGGAGTCAGGAGTGAGAATGTCACCAAATAGGAAAGCCAATACCAGACGGACGGGGGAGGGCATATCCCACAGGAAACGGGAGAGACTATCACAGAAGGGAGACAACATGGCGAGCAGCTCACCAGACTGTCCTCGTAGTGTTGGGTCATCTCACTGACAAGCTTGTCCAGCTGCAGGCTGCGGGAGCCTATGATCTGGATCCAGAAGTGGTGAGGGTTTTCCGAGGCTGAGACATAGACCTCCAGGTACTCGTCGGCATGGAAACTGAAGTCGGGACTGGGGACTGAACACAGGGAGAGGATGATGGCCTCATCAGAAGCATCTCTGGCTGGAAGGAGGATGGGTGAGGAAGGCACACATACCAAGTGGCTGTTGACATTTAAAATACTGCTGGGATGACAACTGGAGGAATCGTTTAAGACCACCGCCTTACGGGAAGGTGCTAACCTATCTTCTGTACCTGTCTGTGTCAGAGTTAAGACGATGGCTTAAGTTCTTAGGCATGTGCCATATGCAGTCACATCAGTCACCGTCTATGCCAGTGAGTCCCCCACAGGCTGGCTGCGGCATGGGTCTGTGTAAGGATAATATACGTGGGCAGCAACAGACTTGGGTCTGCTCCCAAGGCCGCCATCCCCTGACTCAGGGACCTTGGGTGACTCCATGAGCCGCTTGGGGCCGCCCTCTTTCCTGCCCATCCCAACACCACACACCGAAGAGAATGCTCGGAGGAGCCTTCTCATTCTCCTTGAACAGTAAGCATCTTAAAATAGTAAGAGAAGATGGAAACCAGGCCGCGTATTTCAACTTGTTTAATCACATAAGCGTGGGGCAAGAAGGCCATGTCAATGCAATTCTTTGACAGGGTACAACTCAGACTACTTTTCTATTTCCATCTAATTAAAAAAAATTTTTCCCCATCTATTTTTTTCATCAACTGGCTTATATTTAGAAAAAATAGTACTTTAACTCTACAAATACTAGGTAAAATATTGTCAGAAAAGCAGAAGCAGGTGACAGATTTGTAAATGTAGTCAAGAAAATAGAAACTTTTAAAAGAGGACATCTTATTTAGGGTCATGAGGAGCCCTGGTGTGTAGTGATTAAGCACTCAACCGCTAACTGAAAGGTTGGCAGTTCAAACCCACCAGCCACTCTGTGGGAGACAGATGTGGCTTCCGGAAAGACGTCAGCCTTGTAAACCTACAGAGCAGCTCTATTCTGGCCTCTGCGGTTAGCGGCTGGGAGTCAGAATGTGTCAGAGAGCCGTTTGGGTCTGGTTTTGAGAGCCAGCACTTCCATCTTTCATAGGGCTATCAGGTTCCCTCTCTGTTACATACTTTCAAACATGGACAGCTGTGGACTGGCCTGGGCTCCACACTGCTGCTCAAAGCCATCACCATTGGGCCTCTCCCAGGAACCTTCTTCCTGCTGTGGCCCTACAACAGTTATGTCGCCCCCTCCTCGGTGGGGAGCCACAGACATCAGTACAGCTTGCTCCGCTGAGCCAGAAGCGCTCCTCCTCCACACGGCTGGCTCCCCGGCTCCGCCTGGCCCTATCGCGTCCTCTCGCCTCACACTGATGGGCTGCTTGCGTGGAACTCTAGTTTCTGCAGAATGAGCAATTCTCTTCCGAAGTTCTTCATCTTCTGACACTTTATCCAGGATCAACTGCTGTGGAAAAAATGAAAAGGGCGCTGTCTACAGGGGCGGCTATTCTGACCCACAGCAGTGTGGAGGGCACTTTTCATCCTCGGGGACCGTCCAGCGCCACCAGCTACTTGCCTTGGCCGTTTTCACTTCCTTCTGCGTTCCTGTGATTTTTATAAGTCTCGACAGTAGCAGTGTCCCTTCTGCTTCTTTGTCACAGGTAATCTTGGCTCCAGAGGCCTTACAGATGGCACGGATTGTTTCACCACCTCTCCCTGCAGGGGACAAACACACTCCTGTCCTTTTCTCCCCTTCAGACTACTCCAGAAAGGGATCCGTTATCATAACCACATGGAACAAAAAGTAGACTGTTGAGTGAAAACCAGGAGCTTCCGAGAAGGGAATTCTATTCAGACTGATTTGGTTTCTTTGGGGAAAAATGACTTGCTTTTAAAATTTTATTTAAATTCTGTTCTTTGGCTAGGCTAATTTTTTTGTGTCATTTCTTTTTTTTTTTTTACACTCAGTAAGGCCAGATTTTCCATTCTCAGCTCATAATATGAAGTGCTACATGCTGTTTGGACACGGGACCAAAGGCATGCATTTCTCTGCCTCCAGGGCAGCAGCATTAAGGGGTGTTCTGGGTCAGGGGTCAACAAGCCTTTGAAATGGAAGAGCCAATCCTGTCCCTCACAACAATTTAAGAATTATTTGAGAGACATAAATATATTTTTACAAACAAATGAAATCATCATAATATCCTTTAAAATTTTTTCAATTTTACTTCAGAGCCACATGTATGAGGGGGTACCCCCCCAAAAAAAGACAGAAAAAAGCTCCCCTGGGCAGAGCTTTTGTGGTACTCATTTCCCCACTAGGAGAGCATATCAGGCAACTGACTGAGTGAGTGCACTCAGTGGCATCACCTGGGAAGGTTCTCTCTGGTAACTGAACATTTTTCATAAAAGTTTTGCCCAAACCTTTTTTGTGATGGCTGATTTAATAGAACAGCGTGTGGCTGTGAAATTTTGTTTCCTGCTTGGGAAAAATGCTGTAGAAACTGTTGAGATGTTGAACACAGCTTACAAGGGCAGTGCTATGAGGAAAACTCAAGTGTGTGAGTGGTTTTCTCATTTCAGAAAAGGTGAACTGTCAGTTGATGACAAACCTCATTCTGGACATCTGTCCACGTCCCACATGGAAGAAAATGTGGACTCAGTGCATTTGGAGTTCATTCTACCAGCTCAGACTGGTCTTGTTAATCAAACTTTCTATTTAGAGGTCCTGAAAAGATCGTGTAACAAAAGTGACCTGATTTGTGACAGATGGGGGACTGCTTTTACCACCATAACAAAGCACCTGCTCATGCAGCCATTTCAGTGCACCAGTTTTTGGGAAAAACAGCAATGCCTCTCTTGGCCCACACACCTTACCCGACCTCAGTCCGTGCGACTTCTTTTTGTTTCCATGAACGCAGCCATGAAAGGACAGTGATTTGATGACGTACAAGAGGTGAACAACAACAACAACAAAACGAGGGTAGTGCTGTTAGCCATCCAAACAGATGAGTTTAAAAAATGTTTCCAAGAAAAGAACCACAGATTTGAGAAATGTATTAAGTGTAATGGAGAATACTTTGAAGGTGATAAGACTGTTTTGTAAAAAAATTTAAATACGTAGCTTTGAAAAATGAAAAAAAAAATTCCGGGTTTTTTTTTTCGGTGCCCCCTCATATGTATGGGAAGAGCTGCGTGTGGCTGGTGAGCTACAGTCTGCATTGCCTGTTCCAGGGAAAGCATGCAGGGAGGTTCTCCGTAACACTGTCTTGAAAGGCCAGGGATGTTAATGTATGAGCATCTTTTTGCTTCTCTTAGAAAATCGATCATAAGGTGAAGGCATTGACCTGAACCCTTCAGATCTCAAGGGAACGGGTTTCGTTTCACTCAGGGTTGTAAGTGAAAAGGTAAAATTCTGGTCTCGCTGACCCTGTCTTCTGGTCTCAGCAAGGTGAAGGCAAGTAGGTTAGGAAAAGCTCTTGGGAAGGTGTGAAGGGACAGGTCCAGAATAAGGGGAAAACAAGAGGCAGCCATCCAGCCTTACCTATGATTCTGCCCACAGATCTCTGGGGAACCGAGAGCTGCTCAGACACTGGGTTATTCTGCGTCAGGATCTGGCGGATTGCAGCTTTGGCCTTGCACACCTGAACAGGAAACCCACTTATGAGCAGCACCCGCTCATCGCCTACATCCTCTGTGTCCACATCAATCCGAGCACCTGTCTGCTTCCGCAGCTGCAGAGAGAAGGACACACAGACATTCTGCAGGGCTTGCCCACAGCCCAGCCAGAGACACCGACCTACACCAGTGCCCACGGCACCAGCTTAAGCAGGTGGCTAACGGCAGTCCTCGTTTTCTAGTACTTGGAGGGAGCTTTAGAAAACCTCGTGGAAAAATCCCACGGCCCTTTCTTTTTTCCTCTCCGTTATCCTTTCGTTCCCCTTGTCCACAAACTTGTTCAAGCCCCTCTAAGTAACCAAAATGGCAGTTAATGCAACATGCTTCTCATTACATTAAGAACTCCTTTCTCTTAATTTTATTTGAATTAGAGAATGAGGTATCTTGTTTCTTGGTATTCCAAACGAGCAGCAGAATATAGCAAAAAATTCCATGTAGATGCTTTCCCATTATTTACTGCCAATGAGTGATTTCATTAATATCACAGGAGAAAGGAATGGTTCAAGTTATAGCAAGTTGAGTATCAAATCAAAAGCCCTATTTCAACCCAGCTCATTCACAAGCTACAGAGAGATACTCATCTCCAAAAGGAAACTGCATGGTTTGCTAAAAAGCCCTTATTACACATACAGTATATTTAAATACACATACAGTGAATGCATTTTGTGAGGTAGGGGTGGAGAGAAGACAAAAAAATAAATACCACCAATCCCTGGGAAAGCCACTGCTGCTTCACACTCCTACCTGTTTAATATTGGCTCCTTGCCGGCCAATGATCAACTTCACAGAGTCCTGGGGAATCCGCATCTCGACCTCGATGTCATCTTCACTTACAAACGTCAGCCGCTCTTCTGCACAGACCACGGGGCATCAGAGCAGATCTAGGTCAAGCCCAAAGCTGCCCCCAGCCCCACCTCTGGCCCCCAAGCCTGGCTGTCAAAGAGCAACTGAACCAAGAGCTCGGCTGAGGACTGCAACCACAATGACGGGAAGCAACGGCTCCGCGGGACTTTCAGAGGCCCTGAGAGACCAGTGGGTCGTGCCCGCTAGGATGCTCCAATGGAGGGCACACCAGGCTCTGTGAGAAAGGGGAGCTGGGCAATGGACAACCCACTAATCTCAAGGCAACTCCTGGCGAAGAGAATGCCAAAAGTTGCCCAAGGAGTCCACTGGGCTCCGAGCTTCTCCTGGCTATATGTCCTCAATATTTTAACCCTCTGGGTCCTGCTTATGGGAAACCACCTTCCCTAATAGCCTGAACAGCCAGGAGCATGTTAAGGAGAAGCGCAAATCTAAATGTGAGATAACCCATGGCAGCAGTGATACTGCTAACGGGGACCAAACAATGCCATTAGAAAATGTTTTCCTTGTAAAAACAAATAAGCAACCAAATTATTTCGGTGTCAGGTTCCTCAGAGAAAGTGAGCTACATCCCAGCAAATATAAACAAGCCTGGAAAGGGAAGAGTTTTCATTTCAACTCAACAGGGCCGGACATCTCCACCCCACAGCCCCGGCGTTCACATACCTCGGCTTTCCTTATACCTGCGGTACAGGATGTAGGCAATGGTGACACTGGCCGGGATCCCCAGGCCCAGGGCTACTTTCTGAAGAGTGGACAGGTTGGTCCAAGAAGTCCGTTCAGTGGACATTTTCTGCTGCACTGACTCACATTCTGAAACAAGCACATGGGAGTAAAGGCAGGCCAGCACCTTCATCCGATACTGTGCGACTGGCAGGGAGGCACGGAACTCCTGGCACGAATCTTCAGAAGGATACTGCTGCCTGCTTTTCTATCCCAAGAGCCTCAGTCGACTCCCAACATTCCCTTTAAACATTCTTGGGGTGTACAAGAGCTTAGCTGCGCGCGCGCGCACACACACACACACACGAAGAAGATGCTTCAGGAAAGCTATACAATGATCACAGTTTTAAATGACAGAACAAAACAAAATGAATACATTTTAAATATATATATACATTGATGTTCCACAGCAAACTATTTAAAATTCCTTGTCTGTGCCCTTCTATGCCTCCAGGTCTTTCCGACAGCTACTGTCTTATGTGGGGTTCCATTTCAGGCTAGGGAAGGCCTTACTGTGTCCCCTCTTGGGAACAGGGTCTTAGTTGCTAACTCTGGTTACTCAACAACCAGCAGTGAAAAGGGCGCTGTCCTGTTCCTGTGCCAAAGGCCCGCTTTCCAGAGAATTGACTGAGCAGGGGGATGCGGCCTCATCTCCCTGGCTCCACCTCTCTGAGGCAGGAAGACAGCCCTCTCCTCTACACATACTCTCCTCTAGGCTCCGTGTCCTTGTTTCCTCTGCCCATTTCCCTAGAGGGTCCTCCTGAGGCTGGGCTCAGCTGTATCCGTCCCTACTGAGGGCCACTTTATCCACACCTACAGGTCCCCGGCTATCCATGCATCAATGCCTCCAGAAACCCTGCAAGTGACCCGAAGCTGACACGTGGGCCACTGCAATGACCCTCTCACTGGCCGTCTGACCGTGAGGCGCTCTAGCTTCATCTTGTCCCAAACTAATGTGCACACATCCCGCACGGTCATTTCCTTAGTCCACGTACTTTCTCCCCTTAGCCTTGCACACCCTCACTGTGCTTCTCAAACCTCAGTGCCTCCTTTCCCATCTTCCCTTCCCGAGTCCTTGCTTCCTACTTCACGGCGAGTGAAGCATACGGTGAGACTACCCACCAGCTCTCCCCCATCTGCCCCTAACACCCCGTCTTCTCACTGGTGGCCGTGGATGAATTGGATGTGCCCCTAGCACGGAGGTCTCACAAAAGTGCTGCTCCACCAGCTCTTCTTCCTTTTTGGGCAACAACTTCCCATTCTTTCCTTCCCTTTCCAGAAAACTCAACACAGTGTCCACGTATCTTCACCAGTCTTGAATCCATGCTTACCGCTCGTGTGAAGGGCCAGCAGTGACTTCACACTGCTTAATCTCTGTGGTCAAGTGCTCCTCGCATGGGACTCCCTCTTCTGTGAAACACTTTGCTCACTTGGCCTCCATGGCAGCGCCCTCCCCCTGGGTTTCCTCCTTTCCTTGGCGGCACCCTCAGTCTAGATTCCTTCTAGAAGGAATCTCAAACTTAACAGGCACAGAAGCTTCCCATCTTACCTGCTTCCTAATAGCCTTGCTGCCTCACAAACAGAAATTCTATTCCTTTCACTCAGACTAAAAATTCTAAGTGTGCTCCTGTGGTAGTTCCATAGTTTCATGTCAACTTGAAGCTATGAGTGAAGGGGAGGAGTCTAGCCTGTCAATCAGGTCACAGCCTGATGATGCCTCCTGTGGGCATGACCTCCTCCTAAGAAGGGCCCTGAGAACCTCCCCCTCTCTCTGCTCCACCTTCCTGCTGATGAGCCACTTCAAGTCACACTGGTGGCAGCCAGAGCCCTAAATTTGCATCCACCACCATTGGGTCTACAAGACTTTGTACCAACCAGCCTGTGATATTCCAGCATTCTGCATCATAGTGTGTGGCTGTTTGAGTCTGAAGAGGGATTTATGGACTATTTTCAGACTTATAGAATTGATCTGGACTGGGCTGAGATGTTTGCTTGATGTACAATTACTTCTTGATATGAAGCTCTTTCTTATACACGTGTGTCCCTGGATCTGTTTCTCTAGTCAAACTTGGTCTAACACAGATCCTCTCTTCAACAGCATGCGCAGCCTGTCAACAAATCCTTTTAAGCTCCATCTTCCAATTATTTGGAAGCTGACTACCACTTTAAAAAAATATATTTTATTAGGAACTCTTACAGATATTACAATCCATAGTTCCATTAGATCAAGCCTAATTGTATAATTGCTGCCATCATAATTTTCAATACATATTCTTTACTTCTTGAACTACTTTGATATCAGCTCCCCTTTATGCCCTTTTCCCACCATACCATTCCCCTGAATCCTCATTATATATTATTTCTTTGCCATAATGCCCACCATCCCATGTATCAAAGTATCTGAGTATATGTACTGTTCCTTTTCTTTGAGTAGGGTTATACAGTCATCATGGCATTCAGTTCCCCCTTCCTCCCTTTCTCTTCCTGTATCCTCAGGGAGTCATTACTCCCCTTACTGTGTATCTATCTTGACTTTTGTGCAATGAAAGATCTTGATTGTACCAATGTATATATGCAGGCCCAACAAGATTAGTGAGGTAAAACTATGGCCATAATAGTGGGAGGAGGAAATTTAAAGAACTAGGGGATAGTTGTGTTTCATCAGCGCTCTACTGTACCCTCAATGTATCGCTATATCATCCCTTCCATATGGTCCTTCTGTGAGGGCTGTTCCATTATTTTACAGGTGGGCTTTGAGTCTCTACTTTGCCTATGTTCCTTCATGTCAGTTTGATTACCATATATATTCATGTATAAGCTGAGTTTTTCAGCATTTTATGCAGTTTTTGTGGTAAACTTAGGTGCCTTGGCTGATATTCAATCTTCAGACAACCCTGTAAGCTTGGAAATACTAACCCTATTTCTTCAGACGAGTACATATACTCAGATAACTTATCTGGCTTCTTATCCAGAGCCACAGTTACTGTTTACACAAAACGATCTTACCAGATATCATACCCTCTTTTCTTTTTACCTGCACTCTTAGGAAACAGATTTTGTGCCTTTATTCTTTATCTTGAGTTAACCCCAAATTAAGGAAGCATGTTAAAACTCAAAAAAACCTAACCCACTATAATCAAGCTAATTCTGACTCATCCTGACCCTACAGGACAGAGTAGAACTGGCCCTATGGGTTTCCAAGACTGACTCATTTGGGAGTAGAGCATCTATCTCCCTCCCTGGGGCCATTGGCTTCAAACCCTTAGCCCAACACAGTACCCACTACCACACAAGGCTCTCTTTAGCTAGAAAAACACTCCATGTCAGTGGTTCTCCACCTTCCTAATACCGCGACCCTTTAATACAGTTCCTCACGTTGTGGTGACCCCCAATCATAAAAGTATTTTCGTTGCTACTTCATCACTGTAATTTTGCTACTGTTATGAATCGTCATGTAAGTGGATGATATGCAGGATGTATTTTCACTGTTACAAACTGAACATAATCGAAGCATAGTGATTAAAACAATATCTAATTAGATATTGTGAAATATTTATCTCTAATGACAAATAAATGAAATTTTGTCTTGAAGCATGGTGTAGCACGGGTAACAGTCTTCACGCAGGGTACTTTATCTGCATGTGGATGGCCCGCCTGGAGACAGATAGAGGAGCGGTGTCTCGGTTCCTAAGACCATCGGAAATATGTGTTTTCCAATGGTCTTAGGTGATCCCTGTGAAAGGGTTGTTTGACCCCCAGAGGGGTCAAGACCCACAGGTTGAGAACCACTGATCTAAATATAAAGCTTGATAAATAGTCTGATCTGGTGGAATGCATTCCAAATGCACTATCCCCCTCACATCAAAACAACAAATGAGCATCATCTTGCTCTTTGATTTCCTTTGATGAACCCTTCATGGGGCGAGGTGATGATGGCGTCTTCCCCTGGTTTAATGATGTCTGCTATCGGGTCGTAAGGACAGCACCATGTCTCGTCCCCAGGAATGACTCGGGGAAAAGTCTGGGTCGCTTCCGAGCTGTCCTTTCAAAGCGCGGCATGTTTCCAGCCGATGCTCTTTTTCCTGGTCAGTCAGAACGTGAGGTACACATTTCTCTGGGACCCTTCTCCTTCCCAAATCTTCTGTTAAATTCACTGAACTGATCTCCAAGATCGTCCAGATAGTCCCCCGTCTCTTCAATGGTCCATTGTCTTGAGCACAAATGCATGAATTTTGTTGACATTTCCAGCCCTCCGACAAGTTGACAGATGTCCAGACCAAGGTTTACCATCAATCAACATTTCACCTTTTTTGAAACGAGAAAACCACTTCTACACTTGAGTTTTTCCCATGGTGCTGTCCTTGTAAGGTGTATTCAACATCACAACAGTTTCTGCAGTATTTTTCCCCGCGCAGGACACAAAATCTTCACAGCTGCACGCTGTTTTCCTAAATTGGCCATCACAAAAATGCACTAACCCGGAGCCCGTTGCTCGATGTCCACCTAGCGGGGAAAACGCATGCTAGGAAAGCTCGGGTCACGAGCTTCCCTTTTTTTTTTTTTTGGGGGGGGGAATGTACACTGTGGTATAGATATTTTTTCACAACCATTTTATTGGGAGTTAATCTAGATATATCATTCCACCGTTCAATCACATCAAGCAGTATTATACATTTGCTACCACAATCAGTTTCAAAACATTCTTTTCCTTTCTGAAATCCTTGACTTCGGCTCCCTTTTACTGCCGCCCACTCACTACTCTA